AGCAGTCAGCCCATGCTCGTCTGGAACAGAGAAGACTGATAATATATACTTTGTTTCCTTGTAACAAGAAAAAAAAACCGCTTGCTTTGATCATCAACGTCATTACCAAAATGCCCACAACAGTCACAGGTTAACAAAACAACAGCAAGTCCGCTAATTCCTATACGTTCCCCCCTCCATACCCCGAACCCCAACTCCTAGCCCCTCTCTCAATACTGATCATCCCTCCAAGGCCATGATTTCTAATCAATCTTGGCCTGCGCCAAACTCCTCGCCGTGGGGTTGTTGATATTGTTCACCTGGTGCTGGCTCGCCCCGGCGGCAATCTTCTTGTACTTGCTCTGCTTCCTAAGCTTCTTCCTCGCCACCATGACCGGAACCGAACTCTTAGTTACCAAATAGTTCGAAAAGGAGCCAAGTATCACTCTGTTTTTCCCATATTAGCAACATTCTTCTTTTCATCAGGCGAGAACAAAAAAAAAAAAAAAGGGAAAAAACTTGCCCCTTGAGAGCACTCCTCCCCCTGCTCCCCAAAATCACCAACGTCGGGTTCACCAAATCAATCACCTCCGTGATCAAATGCTTCGGGTTCTTGCAGTGCAGCACCTCCACAATCACCCTGACCTGCAACCGCGTCTTCCTCAGCAGCTTCATCGCTCTGTCCCCGATATCCTTCACCGCCCTATACCTCTCCTCCTCCGCTTTGCTCCTCTCCATGCTCGACGGCGCAGGGCTCAAACTAGCCTCGCTCGCCTGGTGACCCAGCGAAGAGATCCTAAGAGGCAGTGCAGTCCCCCCCGGTGTAGCAGGCTGCCTGGTATTGTTCGTCACGGCCGTGATGGCAGCCGCTTGCTCCTTCATCGCCTTGGACTCATCCGGCACCACCGAGTTCGGATTCGCCTCAATCCCAGCATCCTCGTCCACGCAGTAAATGGCAAGCAGCGTGTCGCCATCCCGGAGCACAGTCCCAATAGCCCACTCAAGCGCATGGGTAGACTCGTCACTCATATCCGTAGCAACCAAATACTTCCTCGCAGGTCGGTGTTCCTCCTCGGCGTCCTTGACAAGCTTAGCATAGTCGCCTCTGGTAATAATCTGGATCGTCCTGTGGGACTCGGGCGTTTCCATCACCTGCGTCATGGCAAAGGACATCTTTTGCGCCCTCTTGATGTCCGAGATGTCCTCTTCCGTGTCGGTATACATTGGCGTGTGCGTCCCGCTAGGCGGCGTGTCGAAGCTGGTCGCTGGGTGAATGACGTTCTTGCTGCTGTGTTTGACCCGTTCCTTCTCGCCGGATGGGTTCGTAACAGTAATTGAAGGTTCGTCCAGCAAAGACCTGTATTTGTGAGCCGGCTGGGAAGAGGCAACATGGATCCCTATGGTATACCGAATTCAAGTTAGTCAACGGAATCCCAGTATCCAGTCAAACTGACAGGTGGGTATCAGCAAACAACCTACGTTCCTCCTCCGCAGCCGCAAGCAAGCTCCGCACCTGCCTCTTAGCCTCCGGTGATTCCGAGCTGCCCTGCGGCTTCTTATCAAAGCTTCGAGCGGCCTTCCTACCCCGCTCGTCTTCCTCCGAAGAGTTTCCTCCGCTATCGTCACTGCTTTCCTCGACAAACTCCCCATCAGGTCCCAGATAGTCCTTGGCGAGTCTGCCGTTACTAGACCCATCATCCGACTTCTTCCTTCTCCCGAGCTCACCCAGCGAGCCCCCGGACCTAGCCAAGGCGGCATCTGATAAGCGGCGGTACGCATTGTTGTAGTCGACAGTCTGGTTATCCCCAAGCATGGCGCGCCCGGCCGGGCTGAGATTTCGCCCGAGCAAGGCAGGCGAGTGAGAGCGCACCCCTAGTCTGTTGGTGGGAGACTTGGATTTGTTCCCGGCTTTTCGGCTGCTGTACGCCGGTCCAGCAATCGAGTGACGGCCACGATCGCCAGGGAGAACAAGCCCCGACACATCGTTGCCTCTCATAACTTCTGCCATGGCGCTGGAGCGCTTCCCGCCCATCGTCACTCTTTTCGGCATGGCGGCGCCTGCATGGTTTGTGATGATTCCTCCAAACTGGTAGTCGAGTGTTGGGTCGTGTCGAGGGTTGGCCCGGGGGCCAAAGTCGGCGGGTCTCATGGCGGCATCGGACATGCTCCGGGGGTGCCCAGACGGGGCTGGGGCAAGAAGGCTTCGAGAGCCGGTGTGTTCGATTGGCGAAGAGGGTGTGCTAAGGACATGCTTCTGGCTTGGTGGGGAGTCCACATCCAACATGCTTCGTACTGGCGCGGGAGGAGGGGTGTCGACATCGAGCATGCTTCTAACAGGCGCTATATGAGAGGAGGTCTTAGTATAATAACTCGACGTGGAGCGGGTAGAGGGAGGGGAAGGAGGATAGAGGAGGCCAGGAGAAGGAGGGTCGTCACCAATGTCTAACATGGACCGCACTGGGGATCGCGGCGTGAAGGGAGATGGCGACCGGCCTCCTATGCTGCTTGGGGCTCTGCTTGGTCGTGATGCTTGGGGCCCCTCGAGCAGCGCAAGCACTTCCCTCCGCTCTTCGTCGAGCATCGCCTCCATCGACATTGGTTGGTGCCTAGCCATAGTGAGTGACAGTTGCTGGTGGTTTTTTGTTCTGGTGTACTGTTTGTTCGAAGTGTGGTCTGTAAGGTATGTATACAACGAGTGGGTGGCAGCAGTTTCAAATCAAGGGGTCACGGCTTTCTTCGAGATCAGATTGAAAAGAATGCAGAGTTGTGTGTGTATTCGTAGTGTGTAGCGTTGTCAAACAGGCAGGCAACAAAATAGTGAAAAAGAAAAAAAGTTGGTCGAGTCGGTCGGTGTCAACGGGAGAAGGGCAAGAATCCGACACGATATTTGGTCTTTGTCAAACGGTAAAACCAAGATCAGATGGCGGGGCGTCGTCCCGCTGAAGACGCTGCCAAGACGCCCCCGAAGAGGAGTTACGACTCGGCCCAGAGCGCCAAGACCCAAGCTACCTCACCAGCTGCAGAATGTCTGCGGATATAGCTAGCGGCCATTGCCCCAAAGAGGTGCAGTTTATGAAATCCTTGCTTGTTCAAGTGATAACCGTCGTTTTTTTTCTTCTCCCTTTTGCAGCTGTTCCTTATCACCCCACTGCCAGATCTACTATCAAGTGAATACATGCCCTCGTGTCTGGGCGGTGAGAGCGCAGAGTCAGCGGGCTATAGCATCTCGTGCCCTGTGGCCTGATTGAATGACGATGTGCGGGGTGGGAAGGGAGAGAGCTCTGGGAAGCTCTGACGAAGTGGCAGCGGAACCTTGTGGTTTTGCCGCCGCCGACCAAAATCCAAACTTGCTGTTCGCCGAGCGTAGGGTCCGGAGGCGCCGTCTTGGATCACCTCACGAGAGCTTCCCAAAGCCAATGAAAACCAAGACTCTGGGCTGTGTAACTGGAATCTTGTTTTTCTTCTTCTTCGGCTGGTATTGGCACGAGAGGACGACTCCGCGTTGAGTTGACACAGCCTTTCTTAACATCCTATGCCCAGTCTGATCGTTCACGGTAGTAAAGACCTCCCATCCCAGTGTAACAAAGACGTCAGACACTACAATTTTCCATAGACAAATCCACCCGCATGATAGCACTGCCTCCCTCCCCTCCCCCCGCAACAACCCCACGAATAGGAGCCGAGAGACTACGCGGCTGCTGCGCCATACCGCCGAGCATCTGAGTCGAGTCGTCAAGCGTTTAGAAAACGGCGCAAGGCTACTGGCCAAAGTCTATCGAAACTCAACCTGTCATCTCAGCCTTATACATACGATCCCCATCTGACTTTGACTTTGACTTTCACTTGCATATCTACCACCCTTAATGTCTAGCCCAATCGATCGATCTTTCTGGAACAGTTCCTGACCCATCCTTTCAAAATGCGTATCCCATATGCTCGGGACCGGTCTTGTAATTTGCATGATACAAAATAATGTACACTCTCCTTCCACCACCCAACCTACCAACCCATCTATATGTGACCCCTTTTATGCATGCAGAAGTCTCCCCCATCTCCTCCCTCCCTTTGCCTCACCCAAGAACCTACAAAAAGTTCTTAATCTGATTATTCATCAAATTAGCTCTCGTCGCCGTCCCCAGCTTGTGCACCTGCGCCCTCTTGTCCCAAACCCCGCTCCTCCCCTCCACAACCGCAATAATCTCCTCGGCCACCCTCGTCGGAAACATCTTCCTCCCCGACCCCTTACTCTTCCTCTTCTGCACCGCGTCCAAGATCCACACAAACGCCGTCCTCCTCCTCTGCCTCGCCGCCAACGGTGCAGGAACCTCCAGATTCCTACCACCACCCGCCAGACCCCTAAACCCCCTAATCTTCACCAGCGGCGCGACAGAATCAATCGCAACACGAAGGTAAGTCACCGGATCGAGGGGAAGAAAATTCGGGGCCGGGGCACCAGGAATCAACGGACGGGCAGGGTTCAGTTTTGGTGGGGGGGAGGTGCGGAGGTGGTTGAGAATCATTGCCATGTCCTAGAACATAAATATCAGCATATATATATATATCAAACCGACGTGGGATGGAGAAACGAACTCTTTGAGCCTTGGACAACTTCCCATCCTTCATCAACAACCTCGTGATCTGCCCCATCACATCATCATACCGATGATCCTTGTGCAGCTCGCTCGGCAGCGGCAGGCTGGGCAACCCGTACTTGTGCCCCTCCTCCTCGGCGTCAAATGGTTTGAGTCCGTACGCCACCAGCTCCAGCCTGTTCAGAGCATAGAGGTTGTCTTCTTTATGTTGTTGTTGGCTGAGACTGACCACTTCCTCCTCTGATCTGGGGGGGGCTAGCTCGGAAGAGGGTGCTTGATCGTTGTTATTGTTGTTGTTCTCGGGGGTGAGGTTGTCGGAATAAAACCGTCTCGCTACTGGGACCGTGGTAAGCTTTGGTACCGCGGCGGCAATCTTTTGTGATAATAACGGCTGCTGGCTGGCGGGGGTGGTGGTCCGGAGAGAAAGGGCTCGGAAGGCCGAGGCGAGGTTCAGCCTTGGGGGCATTGTTGCTGTATGCGCGGTTTTGTGTGTGGTGGGGTGGGATGGTCGTCGACGACGGAGCGGGAGGGTTGTTGTCGTCGTCGTCTCGTCAAATCGCAAACCCCGAAGCTTTCACCCACCCAATTCGCCTTGTCCCTCTCGTGCCGTTCTCGAAAAAATGAAAACTATCCCGGTGTTTTCCCGGTCTTGGGTTTGGAGTAGTGGGGCAAGTTACAGCTTCTCGAAAGCTGGTCTGTGCTTTTTGACTTTTGTAACAACCCCAACCCTTCAACTTCACAATCCCCCCCACCAAACATCAACAACCTCCGAAGACTAGCGTTATTTGCCATCCAGCCACACAGCAAAGTTGTGTGTGTGTGTGTGACCCCCACGAACCGGCCAACGACACTGGTGAAAATGAGTGGTTCACAGGTGGGTTGGATGTGCAACAGCGGGAGGGGCATCGGGTCACGGGAGCAACAGTTCCTCCAAGTTTCCCATACTGTCCCCCATCCGAGCTTTTTCTTTTTCTTCTCTTCGAGTCTTGTGACACCGCATATGTTGTGTGGTTGTTGTGATTGCAGTGGGAGTTGCAGAGACCAATCACCGTCATTCCCAAGAACTGGTGAGCCCAGGTCTACCCTCCTTAGCTGACCTCTTCTCCTCATGACATCTAGTTGTTGAACCTCCAGAGATGCTGCCTCAGCTACACCTTTCCTAATTGTAGGTAGATACATCTCACAGGAAGCCGAATCCTCTCTATCAGACACACAAGAATGACACTCAAATCACAACATCGGTGTTTATATATGTCTGCATGCATTCATGTACACATTCCCCCCATCAAGTTAGCCCGAAACATAAAAAAAACCCCTCCTCTCCCACTCCCACCACCCTCACCACCATCACGGGACCACCTCCCCCATTCCTCCACCACGTCACCGAAAATCTCCCCAAAATCCAACCCTCTCCAGCCCAGCACACCCCCCACCTCAACAACCTTGATTGGCCCGAAGATCCCTCACGTCCCCTAGTCCAGACCCGACAACACGGGAAAAAAAGCCTTGATTTGAAGCGGTGTAAGTCAGAAGCTTGGCATTTCCTATCCTGGCCACGAACGACCTCCCACAAACCGCCCTTCACCTCCTCCTCCACTCTTTGCTTTCCTGTGAAGATGTTAGTAAGTTTCAATATCTACAAATACCAGCAAGCATACAAGCACACAAACATACATACATACATACATACAGACAAGAGTTCAAACAAACCAGAAAAGAAAGAAAAAAAACCAATAAATATTAACAGTCTAAAACAACAAAATTCTTTTCCAATCTCATGTCATCAAGAAAACCAAAAGAAAAAACAGAAAACAACTCGGATATCAACGTGAAAAAAATAGAGATAGATGAAAGCAAATTCCAACATATCCTCCACCATTTACCAATAAAAAAAAGGATCAATCTTGTTCCCAGCCTCCTTGCATTATATCCCAGCCCAGTTCCACCTTTTTTTAAAATGTTTTTAAAACCGTTCTCCGTTGGGTTGTTCCGAAGCGGTGTGCTGAAGCTCGATCCGTTGTCGTCGATATCGGCCCGGTAATCTTTCCCTTGCTTTTCGACTTGAAGATAGGTGACATGTCGAATACGTTGTTCAACAGTATGGTGCTTCGGTAGTGCGATCCAACACCGCTACATCCATCCCACCCGGGCCAAGCTCAAGGTCACAGAGTTGTAACCGACCAAGACCACAAGAGAAGTAGACGTCGCAGTAAAAGACCAACCAAACCGCCCTCCATACCGCCTCCCAAGCGTCCTCATTCCGCCCCCCACCATCAAATCCAAACAAGAGAGAAACTCGAAGCCAGCCAAGGAAAAGACAAAGAAACCAAGCAGCCAGAACAACCTCCCAAAAACCCCAATATTTGCAATTCCCATTTTCCATAAAAGTCCAACAATTTCGAGCCGCCAGTGAGTTCCACCAAAACTCCAGATCCTCTCGAGTTAAAGCCATGTGTCCGTTCATGTGCTGAAAAAGACAAGCCTTCCAGCCCAAAGAACCACCCACTCAGCAATGCCTCACAGGGGTATCTGGCCATCAGCGAACTCCCAAGTAGACCTAAATCATCGTCAAATGTGCCTTTGATAAGTTTCCTCCCAAGTAAATAAAGAAACCGAAAACAAAAACAAAAACAAAAGCCAAAACCAAAGTCAATCTGTTTCATAAGCCAAAAAGAACATCAAAACAAAACAAGTCTGCGCCAGGTCATGATAAGAGTTTTCGTTGTGTGCCGTGTGGCAAATGTCGATTTCCCTCCAAAAACTCCTCTTGTGTACGTCGGTCGAAAGTATTAAGCACGGCGTGTGTTGTGTGGGTCGTTATTGTACAACGAAGAGGAATGGTTTGTGTCGTTAAATATAAGTAATCCGAAAGTGTAGCCCGAGAATCCGTGTGTCGTGAAAAGTAGTCGTGATCGTGTAAGCGGTGGCGGTGAATGGTAGGTGTGTGTTGAAACGCAAGACCAAAACGGGGTTTCGAGACAATTTGACTCAGAATCTCCAAGCAGCACTCATCACGGGATCCGAAAGTGGTCCCGGACGGCCGTCTGACTGTTCCGCAGCCGAACCATCAATCTTCGTCCCGTCATCAACTTCTTGCTGTCAAGCCAACGCATTACCATGCGCTTCGAGTGGTGGAGGGTGAGCTGGGGTTCGAAGAGGCGCCGTTCAACCATTTGTAAGCAACCTCAGCAGCATCTTCTTTGGCGTTGTTGACGTTCTTGCCATCGTACCAAAATCGGGCATCGTGAGTCACTCCGTAAACGGTAACCCTGCTGGACCATGCTGTGCGTCCACCTGTATTCCGGTCAGCATTCAAATTTCGCAAGACCTACTCCCGGACCAAAAAAAAACAACAAAAAAAAAGAGAAATTCACATACCTCGTCGGTCAGACACAATTTGGAAAACCGGCGCGGCAATTTGAAGGTCGTGGCAAGTACCTGACGGCGTCATTAGCGACATGAAGCAGACATTCTGTATTTGGGGGAACTCACTCTTCAGGGAATCCTGCCAGGGAGTCTTGCTAGTGTTGGCCTTGGGCGCCATTTTTCGGAGGACCGGACTTGAAGTGAAACGGTCGGTAGTGTGATAGTTTTCGAAGAGGAGGAAGTGGTGATTTTCGGATGGGCTGTGTTGTATCAGGTGTGAATCGAGTATATGTGTATTCGTATCGTGTCGTCAAATGTGCTGTTTGGATGAAAATTGTTTTGTTTCGAACGGTGAAGGGTGAGGTGTTGAGATGAATGTGGGGGAAGAAATAGGCTCAGGCGGTCTGGTTTTATAGTCCGGAACGGTCCGGCGAGGAGAAGCTGGATACGCTCCCAGAGACTGTGACAGAGGCGAGAAGCAAAAGAATGTCGTGTCCGAACCAGATTCGAGAAGATTTGATGCTTAATTAAGAAAGAAAAAATGCAGGCTGCCCTGGCCCGTCAGGTCTGTGCTGTCTTCCCCGGTTGAAGGGGCGTGGATATGGGCCTGTTTGACTGTGAGAGAAACTCGGCGAGTGACGTTAGAGGAAAGAAGCGGACAGCTGCATCATCCGAATAACACAGCCAGATAGGCAGAATCAACAGAGGAAGGATGCTTTTGCAAAGCTTCTTTGCTGGCAGAAACAAGTGGTCAAGCCGGGAGATGAGAAAGAAAAGAACAGTGACACCAAAATACCCGAAGGGTATTTGACATGTCCACCTTGAGTACTGGCCGGATTTACGAACTACGTAGTCCTTCTGTTCCTTTTTGGGCCTGTTCAAGGTGGTGGATAGCAAGTATACCCTTCTTCACTTTCTCTCCTCGGTATGTCTTTTCTTTTTGTGTTGCGTGCCTCTGCGGTTCTGTGCTGCCAGGTCATCAATCCTTGATGATCAGAACCCGATGCCACTCGGGACCGAATCCACACTTCCACAAAAAATTTGGGACTGTGGGCAATCCAGCAGACCAAGGTAGAAAAGAGCATGGCCCCAAGTTGGGACTGCGGTGTGAAGGAAGCAACACAGGCTGCAGAAGCTAGAGGGCACCCCAGCCGAGTATAACAAAACACAAACGCCAGTGGGCTACACATTGTACACTGGGTGTAGAGACAAAGTTGTCGAGCGCAGTGTTCGAAAATCTCAGTCACCACTGGCGTTCCCTTTCCAGATCGTGATGAGAATGCTGAGAAACAGGTCAAGGGGGGAAAGCAATGTTTCCATGCTCCATGGCTGGAGCATGGGGAACCAGACGGCTCGAAAAGTGGCTGCTTGCTGCGTTGTCAAGCCCACACAAACGCCAAAGATTGCCAAAAGCTACCCAAAACGTACTAACGCTGGGGAATGGCAGGGGATTCCAAAGGTGAGCTGGTGGTCGATGGCAACATCCTCATCAACACCAGACCCAAACGATGGTGCATTAAAATGTGCAGAAACAGCAGTTCGGGCTGGGCTGAAATACCATCATCTTCGGGTGCCAAGCGTAGAGCTTTTGAGCTTGGTTTCTGAGTTGTCAATGTGGAAATGGATCCCCATATCTAAATCAAGCACATCCGAGCATCGTTGATGCTGGTAGAGCCCCTCAGTAAGTGGGGGCAATTGTGCTTCACCTTGAACCACTAGGTACCAAAGCATCAGGTGCTTTGCGGGAACGGGTTTTAGCTGCCCTCTGGCTTGTCGGTCTGTGATTGGACAGGCGGAGTGGTGCTAATCTCTCTCCAGAGGAACTTCAGATCTCTGTTCGCCGAACGTTGCCGTTGAATCTCGCCCGTCTTGAGCAATCAATCGCTACGATCGGATACCTGTGTGTTTGTTTCCGGCTACAGACATTTGTTGATGCTGGTCTGCAGCCGGGGTCTTCATAAATGACGGGTACCAAACAGCCGGGACACTCCGAGACGCCCTGACTTTGCAAACAGGTGCCTTGTCGAGCGGCAAGTACATCAAGGGACTTGGGACATCGCTACCGGCCCGTCGGAAACTAGGTATGTTACGCAGCCGGAGTATCCTTCGGGTTCTGGAAGGAATGAACTTGCGACGGCTAGTGCACCTGTGGAGGTACAGCCAATACCGCCGAATCACGAAAGCCGGCTGCCCTGAAACCCCTGATGTCCTCGAACTCTGAATCCAAGGATGTTACCCGCTTTGTTGAGCCTCATTCTCGCAGACTGGGGAACTTGGGGAAATGGAGAAAGCCCAAGTCCATGCTTTGGGCAACCAAAACGTCCCCGTTTTCGCCCTCCTCGCCGATGTCATAGAACGGCATCTTGCAGCATCTTCTGGTATCGTGGAACAAGGCCGTTGGTGTGTAAATTCCACGAGCCGTTCGGGCAGAGATCTCGCTCTTTGCTCGCCAGATGGCATACTGCTGCTGGAGACTCATCGTGCTTCAGGCTTTTGGTATATCATCGGTGGTTCCGAAAAAGAGACAAGAGCCATGGCTCTTGATCAGATCTCAGACGGTCGAGATGGGCGCGGCAGATGGTGACAGCGGCCCCCCTGGCTCACGAACCATTGTTACACAGAAGCGAACCAGGACGACGGGTACATGGCACCATTCGGGATGTCCATCAAATGTGCCGAAGCCTAAACCGGGAATCGTGGCGTCGTCCCGCGTACGCCTTGTCCCCCGTCGAGTGTCTCGGTCAAGCCTTACAGTCTAGTGAAGACAGAGTGTCTGGCCAGCCCGCAGCGTTGGGTTCGTGTGGCATCGGTTTACTCCCGCATCGGTTGCAAGCTGGGCAAAAGGGCGAGATGTGCTCAGATGTGCAAAGTAAAGGTGAAGCGTCCAGATCAGATCGAGAGATGCTACGAAGTCAGCCAGACTTGTCAGGCCAAATAGGGGAGTGGAACAGCGAACCATATGCGGCCGGCGCTTGGCCAGTGAGTCGATATCGACCAATGAGAAGCGCTGAGTGGACCGTATTTGTGCCACGGCAGTAGATGCGGTGTACAAACAGCTCCTCGTTTGGGTATAAACGGCGTGGAGGCACTGCAGGGTACAAATGATGAATAATTGAAGACCGGCGAGAGAGAAGGCCGGAGAAGCATAGTGCCACATATATGCGGTAAGGTCAAAGATGTTTCAAAAGGAGGGCGACACCTGTTGTGACCCGTTCCTGTACAGCCCTGGATTGGTCGGGAAAAGAATTGGCATCCCTGAGAGTGCTCTGTCACCCGGGGGACCGACAGAGCCTGCAAAGAGCCCCGGAGATGTGACAAGCAACACAGTATGGTTGAAGAACGAGTCTTGAACTTCAAAGGATGACGAGGGTTTAAATGTGGACAGAGGCAGCCAGTCGAGGAGCAGCTGCCATATATCGCCATGAGGCTCTTTGGGAAAATGGCGGCGACTCAAGACAGAGATGTGGCACACTACCATGCGTTGCGGCTGCAAACATCGCCGCTTGGGCATCGCATTCTCGACTGTTGGCACCAGGAACTGGAGAGGCGGGCCTGCAACTGCCGTGGTTGGGTGTCTATGCATTGACGGCATACTGTCCTCTTTTGCCATTAGGAATCGATAGATGTTGACGAGATGAAGTCATTTCGTTGCAGCCACCACGGGCCGCTGCCGTGAAATGGCAGGCGAGCGAATCGACATCTGAAGCCTTGACTGAGTCACACCAATATGAATAAGAGAACAAGTGATTGGCCGGCCCTGTGGCTCATTGCTTGTGCGATGTTTCTCCAGGCCTACACCCATATCGCGGTAGCCGTCATGTCGGGCTGGTGAGTGAGGACGAGCATTCAAACATCCAGAGTTCGTGACACAGCAGAGCGTGTTACTGCAGCGCCGTGTCAGTGTCATCGCAGAGAGCCGCCCTAAGGAGCCTTGAAGTTTGGTGTTATGCTATTGGCTGTTACTAAAAGTTAGGGATCATCGTTGGTGGGGGCTGTTTCTCACCAACAGATGTACGAAAAATCCCATGGGCGCGATGGATCGGTATAGAAAGCAAGGAAAGCGATGAGGTGGAAGGCAGAGAGGCCCAGGAATTGATTTTATCAAATATCAAGCGAGAATCATTGAAAACTTAGGGATTGAACAAGGTACATCCAAGTAAGAAGAAGCTCGACCGTTGCGAAATCGAACGGTGCCGTTGGATGGAGCTGAAGTTGGAGTTGATTCCTGGTCCCAGAATCCCCAAAATTGCGAGGCATGTCAGCTGTCGTCATCTGATCCACAGCCGTCCCACCCCACGCGCAGCTGAAATTCTGGGGCTGTAATTACCAGCACCAATCCTGCCTTTTCTCGCCGAAAACGCCTACCCCAACCCGTAATCCCTCTGTTTAGCGCGTAATTATTACACATGCTTCTCCAACTCCCAAAACCGCTCGGCTTTGTCCACCCTCCTGACTTTGTGCCTCGGCTGGACCCTGCCCAGCAACGGCCTAGCACGACGTCGCCAGGACATGGCTGTGTCTCATCTGACTGGCCACTGCCGGTGATATGAATATCATCACCCGTCCCTCAGCATCTCCCCGACCTCCTGTCCGACCTGACCTTCTCTCTTGTACCATCGCAGCCCGGATCCGCTCCCGTAATTTACTCTGAAACTTTTGTCACGTCGTATTTGAAGATGCCTTTCGACACGGAGCTGACCCGCCGGCTCGGCATCGCTGGTACGTATCCTTCACTCGACATGGTGATGGACAAAGTCAAACTGACATTTCACCTTCTACAGTCCCTGTTGTTCAGGGTGGCATGCAGGTAAATCACACCTCCAGTTTGCCATGTAAATATGGTTGCTAACACAGTGGCCAGCATGTTGGATACGCTGAGATGGCGAGCGCTGTGTCCAACGCCGGCGGCTTGGGCATTATTACTGCCCTCATCTTCCCAGAGCCCGAGGGCCTCCGCCAGGAGATCCGGAAGTGCCGGAAGCTGACCAGCAAGCCATTCGGTGTCAACATCACTCTCCTGCCTGCTCTCGTCCCCCCAAATTACGAGGCCTACGCCCAGGTCATCATTGACGAGGGCGTCAAGATCGTCGAGACTGCCGGCAACTCTCCCGGGCCTGTGATTTCCAAGCTCAAGAAGGCCGGCTGCATTGTCCTCCACAAGTGCACAACGATCAGGCATGCCCAGTCCGCCGTTAAGCTCGGCGTCGACTTTTTGAGCATTGATGGTTTCGAGTGCGCTGGGTATGTGTTCAGACAAACTCCACTTCCCCGGATTTTCCCACCATGGTCTATCCTTCCCCTGCCGAGCAGGCGCTAACAGACGTCACAGCCACGTTGGTGAATCAGACATTACCAACTTTATCCTCCTCAGCAAGGCGCGCCAGACCCTCAAGGTGCCCTTCATCGCCTCTGGTGGCTTTGCTGATGGCCAAGGTCTGGCCGCCGCCCTGTGCCTCGGTGCCTGCGGCGTCAACATGGGCACCCGGTTCCTGTGCACGGTCGAGTCCCCTATCCACCACAACATCAAGGAGCAGATTGTCAAGGCGCAGGAGACCGACACCACGCTCGTCCTCCGCCGGTGGCGCAACACTACCCGTCTGTACAAGAACAAGGTGACGGAACAGGCGCTCAAGGTTGAGCAGGAGAGCAAGACGGGCGAGTTCTCCGAGATTGCTCCCTATGTCAGCGGAAAGCGCGGCAGAGAGGTGTTCATCAACGGAGACCCAGAGTACGGTGTCTGGACTGCTGGTCAGGTTATCGGTCTCATCAACGACATCCCGACCTGCAAGGACCTGGTTGCGAGAATCGAGAAGGAGGCCGAGGATACTCTCAAGGAGCGACTTGCGTTGGTTAAGCCGGCGCCTAAGCTATAGAGCATGTTTTGCGACTGTACTTTTAGAGTAGAAGGCGGGGCATTTTCTGGGAGGTTGTCATGAATCGTTAGCAGGTTACTTGTTTGTCTTGTCTTGATGGCATCTTGTATGACAGAACTATGACTTCTGGATAATAGGACGAGAATGATCTTCATGGTCAGCATGAAGATCACGACACATCATGTTCAATATGCCATGTTCATTCATAGTTATCTCGATGGTCATAGAGGGGGTTGCGAGAAGAAGGTTCCTAGAATACCCTAACCCCCGACCGTTGGAAGCGTCGTCTTAGCGAGTCGTTAGCTCCAACTACCGACCCAACCCCACCTCTTCATGTGCCCCCCCGAACCCGACCTCGGCTGTGCTTTCTTCCCCCGGCAAACGCCATTCGGCGCGCAGCGCAACTTGGAACCCATCCCGCAAGCCCGTGGGATTCCAAGGCCAGGGGTCATCCCTCTCACCTGTGTCTTTCTTTCATCAAGAGGCGACATTAATCTTCTTCTCTATCTCTCCTTTCCTTTTCCGAGCTCTCGTGACCAAAATCTTTCTTCTCTTTTCTCTCTTCTTTTTGCTGTTTCTCTGTCATTGCGACTGCAAGCCAGCTAGGTACCTACCGACGTAAATTGCGCTCGCTCACAACCGCACTCGCAGCAATAACAACCGAACCATCCAGAAATCGCAAGCCGCGACAAGCTCCAGAAGACAATCAGACAAAATGGTCGCCGACGCAGTAATCTACCACCCCACCATCACCCACTACCTCAAGTTCGTCGGCACCACCGTCGGCCGCGACAAGCTCCTCCGCACGCTCCAGTACTTTGCCCGCTTCTACGCCTGGTACCTCCTCCGCACCAACGCGACCAAGACGGCCATCCAACCATGGGAGACCATGAAGAAGCAGTTCGGCCTCGTCCGCAAGGTCCTCCGCGCGGGCAAAAACGTCGAGCACTTTAAGGCTGCCGCGCTGGCGGCGGACAACAAGACGATGGACCCCGTGCTGAGATACACTGCCGTGGGGAGACAGCTCGGTTACGCGGGGTATCTCTCGATGGATCTGCTGACGTTGCTGGATGCGACGGGGATCAAGAAGAGCCCTAACGCGAAAAGGCTGCAGCAGGAGGCGTATAGGTTTTGGGCGGCGGGGATTACGTTTAGTATTGTTGGGCAGCTGTATACGCTTTGGCAGTTGAAGAAGAGGGAGGAGAAGGTTGATCGGAAGGAGGGGGAGGGGGTGGTGGAGGGGAAGAGGATTGCCAAGTATGTTTTCGAAAAGGGGTGGATGGACGACGAGGATGATGATGATGATGATGATGCTAACGTTGGGAATAGGGAACGTGCGGCTAGCAGGTTGCAGCTTACTTCGGATCTCTGCGACATTACTGTTCCTCTTTCTGCTCTGGCCTGGGTCAACTTTGATGATGGCATTGTTGGTTTGGCTGGTACCGTCAGCAGCTTGCTGGGTGTGTACTCGCAGTGGAACAAGACTGCCTAGGAAGTCAGGTTTCGGGATGATTGAGGGCGATTGGGAGAGGGGACGGGGAAACCGACAAAATTTACAGAACGGGGGTTGCTGGCTGGCGGAACAGCAACGGACAGACGATGATTGCAGATGTGTTTTGGCAGGAGGTGGATGAGTTGGTATGACGAGCGGTGTTTTGATACCTTTTCTCTTTTTTGAGATTCAGAGTTGTGTTTGGTGGTTTTTCGTTGCTGTAGTTGTACGTGTAACTCGTGGTAGCTCTTTCACATGTCAGCTTTGGAAGTTCAGCTTGTGTTTGCATGGTTTTGGACGAGGTCGATGGGTAATGTTTAGAATGCTTTGGTGAAGCTGTTTCAGGCTTGATTTATTTTACGCAGGTAGCTTTCTTGCAATGCAATTTCCATTCACGGTAGCACTTATTGAACCCCTCCATGATTTGAGAGAATTGAACCCCTCGTGAGAATCCTTGGCTGGAAGTGTTGATCCTTGTCCGAAAGCCGATGACTCCATTTCGGTCCCGGGCGTGTGGACACCGAACCCCAAGCTGCCAGAGTTTGGTGGGGTTCGTTGCGGAAGCTTGGACGAGACAGTGAAGGCCCCCCACCCCCCTGCTAAACCTCTTATCAAATGCGACAGCAACGTCCAGTGTCACTCTTCATGCCCTCAACAAATGAGATGGCATGATGCTGATGTCGCACACATCGTCGAGAGCCTGAGATATCATGAAGAGCGTAGACAGCTTTGCATAGGTGTCACCACGTGCCACATCTCCAGCCATGTCGGTGACTTCAACCCCGCCAAAGTTGGATGACGATGCTGGGATCCTACAACTCACATCTGCGATGCGACAGGCCCAAGCAATCGGTCAGTGATCGAGCCAAGACGCTTCCAGACAGATTCCCAGCAGCAGCGGGATGACGGGGGGTATTCAAAATGCCTGTTTCATCAGGGGAGCTAACCCCTCGGCACCTTCTTCAGATCCTCTCGGTTTCAACGGCGGCCGGGCTGAGGTTCCATTCTGGCGGCGGCTAGATCCAGTCGTGACGTTTTTGTATCCGTATTTCAAGTTGGCTAGCACCCCGCTTACAGTTCCCAGGTTGCTGGTTGGTGTGCCTGGCGCTGAATGCTTCCTGATCCATATCTTGGGAAACTTTGGTCTTTCGAAAGAGTTCCTCCCTCCTTCTCTTGTGTCCCGTCCCGCATTCGTCCAGTTTTCGTCCCGCCGCCACCCAGCCCCTCTCATATTGACGACCCTCTCATATTGACGACCCTCCCCAACCGCAACCGGAACTGCTGCCACTGAGCTTGGGCCCTTCAACAAAAACCTTTGCTGAGGATTGGCACTGTTGAGGATCTGAGCATCGTGATAGCTTCACTTGTGACTTGGCACGTGCTCAGTAATCATTCGCTTGCCCTCTGGACGAGTACCTACGGGCAATAACAGAACCGAGGTTGGGAACCTGCATATCTGCCTCCCAACAATACCGTGTTTGCCCCTCCAGGCCTCCCCGCGGCACATATTTGACCCGGAGCGCGAACAGCATCATTTAATACCCCATTCGGCCTCACTCACCACCAACTGACGCCCCGACAATCCGTCAACCCTCCTGCTTTTACCTCCAACCTCAAAAATGTCTGTCTCGACGGAAGCCAGAGAGCTGGGTCTCTCCATCCTGGGCCTGGGAACCCGATACCCTCCTTACACTCTTGACTCCCGCGCGGTCGAGGAACTGAGCAAGCGCTACCATCCGGAAACACCAGCGTATGTGTCGCCCCTCATACTTTCCTACTCTCGAGACCATTGGCTGACTGCTCCCTCACAGCATGCAAAAAGTCCTCGCCATCAACCGCTTCACCGGCATCGACAAGCGCTCCTCCATAGGCCGACCGGACCACTGGCTCGTAAACCAACCCGAACCACCAACGATCGCCCAACTCCACGATGTCTTCATGTCCGACGGTGTCCCCCTCGCCATCTCGGCCTCGAAAGAAGCACTTGCCGAAGCGCACATCAACGACGTATCACAAATCACCCACATGGTCTCAGCAACCTGCACTGATTCTGCCAACCCAGGATACGACCACTACGTCGCCAAAGCCCTCGGTCTCTCTCCATTCGTTGAGAAAACTCTGCTTCATGGCGTTGGTTGCTCAGGTGGCTTGGCAGCGCTGAGAACAGCAGCCAATCTCTGCCTAGGCCATAGCACGAGGGGATTGCCCGCGAGGATATTGGTTGTTACGTTGGAGATCTCCACGACGTTAGTCCGCTCGGAGCTGGAATCTATACATAGTAATCAGGAGACGAGAATTGGGGTTTGTTTGTTCAGCGACTGCGCCTCGGCGGTAGTCGTCTCAAACGACATCCCCTTTTCACCAACCGAACCGCTACCGCCACCAGTCTATAGCCTTCTCGACTGGAGGCACCAAACCGTCCCCGACACGGAACAAGACCTCGGCTTTGACACGCACCCCCAAGGCTGGAAAGTAGTTCTTTCCCCTCGCGTCCCGAACCTCACAGCGTCGGTCTTGGAACCGACGTATAACTCGTTAATGTCGGGAAAGAAGCTCCCGGAGGGGTATGGCTCGCCAAAGGACTTTGACTGGGCGATGCACCCAGGGGGAGCGACGATTCTGACGGGGGCCGAGAAGGTGCTGGGGATACAGCCGGAGCATATGAGGGCGAGCTATGATACGTATGTCAATCATGGAAACTCGAGCTCGGCGACGATTTTTAGCGTGCTGAATCGGTTGAGGGGGAAGGAGATGGATGGGGTGGCTCCGGGGGGGAGGGGGGCGAGGGAGTTGGTTGTGGGTTGTGCTTTTGGGCCGGGGATCACGGTGGAGATGTGTCTGTTGAGGAGGAATCTGAGCAGGACGGAAGGGGGGAGGAAGGGGATGGAGACGCCGCCGGAGACGGAGGAGAGTAGTGAGGATGGGGAGGGGGGGCGTGAGGTGAGCGAGGAGGAGAAGAAGGGGAGTGAGGTGAGCGAGGAGGAGAAGAAGGGGAGTGAGGTGAGTGAGGAGGAGAAGAAGGGGAGCGAGGAGGAGGCGTTTATAGCTAAGGCGTTGGAGAGTGTAGAGCTGGACTGAGGAGGGTGGTGAGAAAAGGGGGTGTATATATGTGGTGTGTTGAACCGCGGGCGGTATGAAACGAGTCGTATGGCGACCTCACTTGGGAGGCAAGCGGCCGACTATGGGGGGGGGGAGTACCTACGGGCCTTGGGCTAGACGTGTATATTTTCCCAACAGATACCATATATCAATCTTTCTTCTCCTGATTCCCGGTGATATATGGCACAGGCACATTGAAATGGAGCTTCTCTCTTCTAACTAACCGCTCTCACTCACTCACCTCACCCTCATTTCCAAACCCTGGCCTTTTTGTTTTCCTGAACCCATGATGCTGACCAGGTGATCGAACGGTGTGGAGCCAAAATCAAGTAAACTGATAACGACCAAACGCGGGGTGATAAGGACCATTTGCCCCACTATAGTTCCACCATCCCTTTAGGCACACGGTTCCCCCCCCCGCCCTCTTTACCTTCACCGGCTTTTTTTGTACAGCAGCGCGCGTGCTCTTCAAACAACAAGTCAAGACGTTTAACCAACCAGAGAAGGTACGCCCATAAAACTTTGTTTGGACCGACGGTTACACAACCTGAAACGGCACCGACTTTGTTCAACGCGCGTTGCGCGAGGAAGATGATTGGTCTGTGAGAGGTGTCTGACAACACGTGTACAGGGCGTTGGTTTGAGTGCCGAAGAAGGAGGCAATCGATGGATCCCAGCCTCTTATTTTTTTAGGGCAGAGTGGGGTGCTGGGGGGATAGGTTTATTACCACGCGATGATATTGGTGGGGTTTTATGAGCTGGCCGTGCGCGCGCGGCCTGAGGGATGAGGCACGTTCCGCAGTGTGCGTTGTGTGGACTGAGGGGTGGGTGAGAGTCACAGCTGAGAGGGGAGACCGAAAGGGAATTATTGAATGGGGTCTCTCATTCCAGATTTGGGTTTTCTAGATTTTTTATTTTTATTTTTATTTTTATTTCTATGTTCATTATTATTTTCATTTTCATTTTCATTTTCATTGGGAAATACAAACAACAACACAGAACATTTACAGAACGCAAAAGTAAAGCAGGCCTTTTCGCATCGCTCGTTTTATTTCAGCTTGTCTGATAGCCCAAACGAACACACTACCAAGAACACTACCACACCGCTGCCTGGAACTGATAGCCAAACCAAACGCCCGCACACCCCTCCTCACCCCTCCTCCTCTCATCCCTACCACACCACCAGTCTACCTACTTATCTCCCTAGCTCCGCTTCGGTCATCCATATCCTCCCCCTTTTTTTTTTCCTGACCGAACCATTTCATTCACTTCATTCATCTCTAATGCCCTCACTCTTCACAATCAACAACAACGTCTCCCTAATCAGCATCACCATCGCGCCCTCAGCCTGGATCGCGTCCCTAGTCGTCTCACTCTTCTTCGCCTTCCTCTACCTCCCGCCTCTAATCAAATCATCCACGCCCGCGTCAAGGGCCAATTTCTTCTACCGGATCAAGCAGTTTTTTTCTCTGCAGGGCCCGTTCTACTCCGAGGAGGAAGACGGCGAGTTTCAAAAGACGGTGCTCCAGCCCATCATCGAGGAGCCCGACGCGGAGGAGAGGGAGGAGCAGAGGGAGTACGAACGGAGGCGGAGGATCAAGAAGAGGAAGCAGGAGATTGAGGATCTGAGGCCGGGGTTGTTACCCGGGAGGGAGCTTATCGGGGAACTTGGCTGGGGGAGCGAGCGGAGGAGGGAAAAGGAGAAGAGGACGTCGTCGTCGCTGTTGAAGATCAGGAGCGGGAGTAAGAGTGAGAAGCGGTCGTCGAGGGATAAGGAACGGGATAGTACGGAAAGAGACGGCAGCGACGGTGATGGTGGACACGGCAAAGATGGCAGATTACTACGGCAGCAACAAACAACCCAAGTCGTTGCAACCGTCGTACGGGTACCACTCGGCCGCAACCGATCCGCTGAGCGAGACAGAGATGGGGGAGGGGGACAGCGATCTAGAGGATCTGGAGGTTTCTGGGGGCGGATATTCTCCTCCGGCGTGGAGACGGCTGGGAGACGGAGGTCGCAGCAGCGGTTTCTGGCAGCCCCAGACGGTGATCAGGAGTGACGGCCAGCGGGATGGGTTTAACAGGCAGTATGATTTGCTGGGGAGGTCGATGAGGGAGGATAGTCCCGATAGTGTGATGGATGGGCTGGCGGGGTATGGAGGGGGTTATGGGCAAAGGGGGGAGGATGCACACTGGTTGAATGATGAGATCTTGCAGGAGGCGATCAGGACGAGGTTGCCGGAGAGTGTGTCCCCGGAAAAGGAGAGGAGTCCAGAGTTGGAGGACAACTACTGGAAGAATCACCAAATATACGGAAACAACCAGCAGCAGGAGCAAAAGAAGCTGGGGAGCATCGACGAGACCATCAAGATTAAACAGGAGGACTGGGAGGAGGAGGAGCAGCGGCAAGGAAGAGGGGTGGCTTTGAGTGCGATTCCAGAATTTTCGCCAGTTCGGGATGGACCCGTGACGACGCCAAAACCAGAAGAAGAAATTGCTGATAACTGTGAGTTTGGCTCTTGTTTCCTCTCTCCCATCACCGCACAACGCAAATCTCATGCCGTGTCTTCAGACATTCGCTTCGCCGTCCGCGCCGAAGTCCAACACCGCACCGAACCCATCGATGCCACCATCAACTTTTTCCGGCGTGTCTCCCAATCCGTCACACGGTCCAAAACCTCCCTCTTCGCCTCCCTCCTCATTGCCCTCCTCTCTTTCATCGTGACGCGTCACCTCACCCACCCCCTCACCCCTCCTCCAGTCCCCGACCTCGTCAAAGTCGCCTCCGTCGCCCGCTCCCTCGAGCCATTGATTTACTACTCCGAAAACGGCGCAGCCCAAGTGACATCCCTCCAAGCCACCTCGGTCGCAGTCTGGGACCTGTCCGAATCCATCAGAACAAGCAACCTCACCTCGGCCCCCCTAATCGTCTCCACCCTCGACGACCTGGCCGACTCCCTCCAGATTTTGTCGTTGGAGCTGACCAAATTCTTCGCCAACGTCGACGGAGACATTGACGGGATTCTGATCACCATGTCCTGGGCCCGTCGCGAACTCTCCACCCTCTCCTCCTCCCCTCCCCCGTCTCCCCTCATCAACAACATCTTATCCCTCCCTTTCATCCCCTCCATCTTCGGCCCGACCCACCCCCAGCGGACACAGCGAACCCTCCAACGCACATTCAACGAACTGCTCAACGTGCTCGAAGAGGCGGTAGAATCCGAACTCTCCCACTCCTTATCCCTGTTTCGACTCTTCTCTTCAATAGACTCCCAGTTCCTAACCCTGACCCGAACCGTAACGCGCGAGTCATCAAATCAGGAGTCCCTCCACAACGACCTCCTCTCTTCCCTCTGGGTCCGTCTCCTAGGCGCTAAAAAGGGGGAACTAGCAAAGTTTGAGAAGAATCGAGAACTGCTGAAGGATGTGAGGGAGAAGACGGTGAGGAATAAGGGTGTGCTGGTGGAGCATAACCAGAAGTTGTTGGCTCTCAAGGCTAGTCTGGAGGCGCTGAGGAGGAAGCTTGTCAGTCCGCTGGTGAGGAGTATCAACTCTAGCACCCTGACGCTGGAGGAGCAAGTGAGGGGGTTGGAGGAGGCGGGGGGGTATCTTGAGGGGGTGAGGAGCCGGCAGAAGGGGAGGGTGATGGAGATGCTTTATGGGGGTGGGTCAGGGGCTTGGGGCCATAAGACGATTGTTGAGATTGGGGATGTGTAAAGGGGTTGGGGGGGGGTGGGGCTTTCTATTCTTTCTTTCTTTTTGTTTGGGAAATTCGGGCATGCTTGATACCAGCGGTGATATTTGGCAATGGGACTTCCTTGGTCAGGGTAACTAACATGGTTTTTTTTTGGGTTTTTTTTGGTTTGGATCTGGGAGACATCTTCCTTGCTATCATTTCTGATTTTCGGCTATCCGGCCCTGAGAGGGCAGATGAGAAAGGAAAAAAAAAAGAAAAAGCCCAGCCACCCCCACACGCGCCGCCGCAGCCAGCCCGAGGCGGAAGGGAGGGAGGGACCCAAAAAACCCAAAAGCAACGGGAAGAGACAAAAAAAACCACAAACAAAAACAAAAACAAAGAGGAAAAAACAAATCCCCCAACACAACCCCCCCACAAAAAAACACAAAAAAACAAAAAACCACAAAAACCAAACCCCCCCCAACAAACCCCCCCCCCCAC